GCAGACAGGCGAATATTGCGATAAATGGTTGAAAACGTTGCAAAAAGACCAAAGAATGTTGCAACTAAACTTATATCCCTACTAACCTTGTACTCTAGTGCACAAATTATGTAAGGAAATTAATTTATTCTCTTAAGTTAGGTGTGCGCACTAAAGTCTGGGTTGTATGGATTAGTCTCTATATAAATATAGATTTTTTGCAGTTGTATATCGCAATCATACGTCTAGATATATCGACATCACATCACGCGGTCTGAACCAAAGATGTGATCGTGTTTCCAAAGCCATTGACGTCAGAGGTGTTAAACTCAGTCGATACCAGTTTTATTGACAGTCTAACAACCGAGTTGATCACGTTATCGGGTTTAACATTTTGTAGCTTTAAGACAACATTTATCGCATTTAGGATTGCACTAAACCAATTTAGTTGTACGAAAATCGGAATCAATAATTATATTTTTTTAGGATGAGGCCGACGCAATGTCTGTTATTGCCATTAGACTATTTTAAATTTGCTTCTGTGATATGTAAATTGAACTAATTAACATTATGATAGTACGTTATAATTCAATTACCCTACAGTATAGAGATGGCTATGATTCCATGCATCCTGAGATGATCATATGGAAGAGAAAGGGCCATCTGGACAAAAATATGTCACAGATTCCGAAAACCAAGAAAAATAACACGATCACTTTATACAGTATTGTAGAAATTATAATAGGTATTGTTATAAATTTCGTGGAAAAATTGATTGCTATTGTATAAGGTGGTTAAAATCTAATAAGTTCATGAAAAGGCGCCTAAGCCTTTACCCGCTCACTCCTTTAACAGGTTTTAGGTCCAGAGAGTAGAGTGCGAGACGTCTCTGCTAAAGGATCCCGGTTCAAGTCCTGCCAATCACCAACTGCATGATAATGCCGTAGTTCGGCGCCTATCTAGAAAACTAAAAAGGACGTAGACTATTTTAGAGGAGAAAATGTTGCTGTACTGGATAACTCTCTAAGCTACACTAAATTCGCAAGTACAGTATCAATGAGTAACTAGTAAACACGTTGCTCGAAATCGAGCAATTGCAAAGAAGTAAAGTATCTATTTAAAAACAAATAAAAGTCATCATAACTTCCGATGAGTTTAAAAGACTTTGAATTTGAAAAATAAATAACAGCAATTAAATTATACAGCTGATCAAAATGTAAACAATTATGTTCTTCATAAGGATAACATGGGAACTTTAACAGCCACTGGGGCAGAGCCCAAGGGACTTTAAAAAAAATAAAGGTCAGTTTGCAAATCCACGCGACACGCTCTTTTCAATGAGACGTCAATGGATAAAATCGGATAATGACGGAGGAGTTCAACCGACAAAGTTTCATGTAGCGTATTAATTATATAGATATATGGCTTGCGCCCAGGATGTTATTACTACCACAGCTGATTGATCCGACTACAATGACAAAGCGATTATAACAAACCATACAAATAGAATATAATAGTCATTAGGCGTCGATTGTGTGCTAAACTGCGGCCCGACCGGTGCTGGCGACAGGCTGCCGATCTGGCGGGAGAATCAGCTGTTTGCGCGGGTATCGGCTCGCCTGTAAGCGATACAAATCAACACGATCGCTTGTAATTGACATACAATCCTGGAATTACATAAGAGACCTTGAGGAAGGCGCCGGCGCTGGCTGGCTTCTGGCGCCGTCCTGGGAGGGGCTTCAGCGGGGTGACTTGCTGAGGATCTTTAGGGTTAAAGGAGATAAAGATGTTATCTCATGTTGTCTGATCGCTGTTGGAACCATAACTAAATTTTGGTTAGAGACTTGTCATACAACGGGTTTTTAAGTAAATTAAATTATGTAGAACACTATGTAAGCGTCATCGTTTGGAGGGGAGGGAGTCTTCTAAGGTGTTAGCTAATGTATGTATGATGATGGTTTTACGTCACATAATGATGACTAGTTTCGGGAGTGCTGTGAAGCTAAACAATAAATTTGACTGCAAATGAATGAATGATTAGACTAGTTGAAATTGTGATAAAAATATACAATTCTTTCTGTAGATAAAAGACTTCTTGTAATGGGTCTAAATCGTGTCCAGGACGAAGCTCAAAGCTGCTGTGCGGAGGTGTTGCGTGTTGTAGGAGCGCCTCCAGCGAGCGACGCTGGCGCCTCTGATGTGCCATTGTTGTATCAGATGCGCTGATGGTAATCATTTTTTTATAACGAATCGCCTGCAGGTCTCATGACAACCACAGTATTCTTCAAGCCTTAATCGCCAATCATAATTGCACCGTCTTTGTCCTTGGATAATATTGCAATAGCAACGTTTTCAAACATATTTTTCACTGTTTATACAGTAATACATGTTACTGGGACGGTGACGTCGTCCTGTAATCCAGCTACTAGGAGGTCACGAATTGTGGATTATAGGCATGCACTGTGGATGCGATGCTCCCTGGTGTGGATTAACGTCCGCGATAGGGGGTACTACGACTATCCGCAGTACTATCCTGTAAATTAGACCAATTCGTCAATTACAAGGAAAAAATGTGGTTGGATTGCACTAAAAAAACTGTAGGTCCCTTAGTTGCCATTGGCTGTATGGGCTATTAATTAATAGTCCTGTCTCCAAGGAACATGTCGGCTTTAGTCACTAGCGTCACTCATTCTATTCTCATCCTTCACTCATATTTGCGTTAAAATACGCACAAAGTGGCGTCCCCAAATTGATTGATATATTTTATGGAATCGCGTTTATCGCCTTCGTATACGTCAATTAGTCCTTTGTGTCAAATACGAACGTGGTTTGCAAACTAGTTAGGGAATAATCTGGTCTTCATCGCTAATTTGTTCAAACTACCATTAAAATATGTGGATCGCAATTCATATAGAGAACTGTCACTTTCGAAAGCTGCACTCCAACCTCGATCTGATATCTGCGGTTGATTACCTATATCTGAGACGTATCGAGGTCACAGGAAGCGGTTGGCTCGATGTAAACAGACGGTATCGTAGTGATAAGAGGCAACAATGTTATCAGACCTTGCGGTGGAATAAACATATGTATCGGTCGATATGCAGGTACCTCCAGCGACACCTTCGAAGGTCCTGGCACCTCTATGCGTGTGTGAGGGGAGATCAACAGTCTGGGCTGTAGCTGAAGAGTGTCTGTAGATTTAGGTTGCCATCTTATCTGCTGATAACGGTAAGCTTACAAAGTCATTCACCTGAGGATAGTTAGTATACTAGCGAAGAGTAGAATTTTAGTTTTAAAATAAGGCTCTTGGATCAATTGAATCCCCTATCGTGCAGTTGTAAAATATAGTTTTCCTTCTTATACGTAAACCTTTTTTTACTATAAATTCAGATGAATTTGTAACTTGGCATTTTTACGAAGATAAATGAAAAAGTGTGTGTAGAATAGAGTGAAATGCGTTTTGTTGCTTTGTTCCTTAGCTGTTTAGCCAGAAATATTTCTTAGAAGCGTAATGCTCAAGGACAGCTGGATCCAGTTTGAAACAATCTAAAAGCTTAAGTCTTTTGGCAGGATTGAACTGGTCTTCTTTTAATTAACAGGCGAGAACCAAACCACTCAGATCCACAGTTTTTTGTTCGTCCAAAACTGAAAAGGCATCTTTTTGCGAACTATAGGATTTATTTTCCATATTAACTATCTTATATTAAATAGCAAAACACGAATAGCGGTAACATTAGTAGCGCCATACTTCATCTACATCTGGTCCTAGGACGAATTAGACTACTAGCATAGGAGTAGACAATTTATTATAGATTTTTTTTGCTCCTTTAATCTATGCTACTAGTAGTACACGACCTTAGGGTCTAAGTTCTGTTTGACTAGATATAGGTGGTCTCTATATGTGTGACGTCTACAGTACTACAGTGTAGTATTTTTAAAGTTTTCATAGTTAAAAATATATAGTTGACATAAGCTTACCTTCGAGATTGCCATGATTAAATAAAAGATAACCAAAGCTAATACCACTTCTTGTGAGTGACTCTGTAGCCAAAGAATACATCTTGAGCCCAAGATACGTTAAATGTATTTATTACTAGTCTGTGTTGTGTTGTAACTTTTTCTCAGTCACACAAGATTATTTGCAATCTTGGTCATCTTGCGGTGTGCTGCATGCAGTGCACAACAAATAACCTTCACTAGGCGTGAAGATCGTTGTTTTTTGTTTGTAGTCCACACTCCACAGCATCAGGATCTCGCATCACGTTACGACATGCTGTGTTTATTTTGAACATGTCTCAGTCAGCGGTGGCTGGTGGGTTGAAATCGAAGGGATTCGAAATTCTAAAGACTAAAAAAGTGTATTTAAAAATGCGGGACATTTACAAAATTATGTCATTTTATGTGAAGACAATTAAGTGTCAAGTTGGTTGAGTACGGGGGATATTGGTTAGTAATATCAATTTTATTGACGATATGATACTGAAGTAGACATCCCACCTCTACTATGGACCAGCAGTGGCCAATCTTGTATCATTGACTTGTAATTTTTTTGCAAAGTAGACACAGTCTATATGGACCAGCTGCCACACAGATTTTACTAAAAAGAACGTAGTTGTGTGAGCCATTCGCAGAATTGCGTTAGTGCCTGAGATTCCATTTTCTACCTTATTTTTGTTGCTGACATAGCTGTTGGGTCATAATAGATGCCATAGCTTACAATAAGTCATCATAGGCTATGAGTTTGATTTGGTAAAAAGTTCGTGTATTTGACAGAAATCAGTATTTTTCATTAACACAATCTATTGGTGGCACTCGTCAACTACGTCCATTTCGATTTAAAACTGATGGATGACAACTTTAATAACGTAGGGATGGAATGTGCTCTATCAATAGTTAAAGCTTTAGTTCAAATAGTGCATAGTCGAATGCACCTCTCATAAAGTGCTCCTAATCGTCAGTTAGCTTCCTGACCTCTCAGTATCAAACCGGCGACTTTATAACCTGGTGTATGTATGTTGTAGGCGGCAAGCTGGCTGCCCCGGGCGATGACTGCCGCCAGGCGCCGTGCCCGCCCGTCCTCTGGCTCTCCAGGCGTAAACAAGGTAGGTCTTACTGGAGTATGACCATTCATATTCCATAGTCTGTATGATGGAACCTGTCTCCTGGCCCGGACCTCAAACCATTGGCCAGTCCCCAGGTAGAAGAAGGGCCAGGAGGCAGGTTCCATCAAACAGATATATTATTATATACCCTGCATTAAGAGAGTGCCCATGAACATTTATTTCACCTGGTGTTCAGAGGTACTCCCATATTGCTATGGGTATAGAAGTAAGGTACAATTTTGTTTGTAAACAGATAGTGAATCTAGCGGCAAGGTGCGAAAGTACTAGTGTCAGCGTCCCTTGCACTCGCGATGCGAACATATTGTTATCTATATACAGGGTGAGTTTTAAATGTCCCCCCCCCCAACTTTTTTCTACATTTTTTCAAATATCAATCCCAGACCACTTCCAAACATTGTTGGGTAGTAAGTACTTCATTTTGACAAGGTGGTCATTTCTGGCCGCCATCTTGGATCCGCCATATTGGATGCAAAATATTTTTTTCAAATGTAAAGGTGGGGTTGTGACCCATTATTTTGAACTAGATTTTTACCCTGATTACAATGCCACAAACCGTTTTTAAAAATCTTGATTCATTTAAAAGTTATGATGGCTTTTTAAAACTTTATTTTTAGGCCATTTTAACATTGTGCATTTACAAACTAAGGACTATAATCTCAAAATAGTGCTAGATAAACATAAGTACACTACCAGTCATTGTCGACTTATTTTCACTTGGTTATGACTGATGTAATTTTTTCGGCCGCCATCTTGGATCCGCCATTTTGAAATATGATAAATTATTTTAAATATGAAGGGGGTGTTGTGACCCATCATTTCAGATTACTTTTTTAAGCTGAACTCAATTCCATGATCCGTTTTTCATTTTCATATTTTGATTTTGAAATATTCACATCTTTAACCAAAAAAATGCAATATCTCATAAATAAAACTTGATAACAAAAAAATGATTGCGGCATTGAGTTTAGCTTAAAAAAGTAGTTCGAAATGATGGGTCACAACACACTCTTCATATTTAAAATAATACATCACATTTCAAAATGGCGGATCCAAGATGGCGGCCGAAAAAATACATCAGTCATAACAAAGAGAAAATATGATGACAATGACTGGTAGTGTATACTTATCTTTATCTATCACTTTTTTGAGATTATGGTCCTTAGTTTGTAAATGCACAATGTTAAAATGGGCTAAAAATATAGTTTTAAAAAGTCCTCATAACTTTTGAATGAATCAAGATTTTTAAAAACGGTTTGTGGCATTGTAATCAGGGTAAAAATCTAGTTCAAAATAATGGGTCACAACCCCACCTTTACATTTGAAAAAAATATTTTGCATCCAATATGGCGGATCCAAGATGGCGGCCAGAAATGACCACCTTGTCAAAATGAAGTACTTACTACCCAACAATGTTTGGAAGTGTTCTGGGATTGATATTTGAAAAAATGTAGAAAAAAGTTGGGGGGGGGGGACATTTAAAACTCACCCTGTATATAAAAGGCAAAGCCCTCACTGACTGACTCACTCACTCACTCACTCACTCATCACTAACTCTCCCACTTCCCATTTACCTAGGAGGCTGAAATTTGGTACACTGACTCTTTGGGCATTAAATAGGAAAACTAAGTGGTTTTTATTCTGATCGGACTCTCGGGCTCCGCCCCAGTGGCTCTGGAATTTCCCATGTTAATCTTATGAGTACTTATATTTAAATGGAATTAATGAATCTTAACAGCTGTTTCAATTAAACAAGTTGGTTCTGTTCTATGATGTTCAATAGCATTAAAGTTACAAGGATTACCAACAGGGTGCAGCACCATTATTTCTTTTACATTTATGACAACAGCTAATTATTAACCAAAAGGTGAGTGAGCGTAGCGAACGAACTTCAACCTCAAGGCGAGTGAGCGTAGCGAACGAGCTAACCTGAAGGCAAGTGAGCGCAGCGAACGAGCTCCAACCTAAAGATGAGTGAGCGTAGCGAACGAGCTCCAACCTAAAGGTGAGTGAGCGTAGCGAACGAACTTCAACCAGGACATGATTGAGCCATGCGAACGAGATCATCTTGAAAATTAAGAAGTGAAACGGGGCAAAGCCCGCGGGTTACAGCTAGTCTATATACAGGGTGTTCATTTGAAAACTTTCCATATCTGTTGTGTGCAAAGGTAAGGCTTTTAACACTTGTTTGTTCTCATTTCCCCCTAATTTGGACATGCCAAATCCAATAAAATTATTTTCAATTTTGAAAAATGCCCCAAAAGGGCCCAATTTGGGGGGTAGGGGTGCTTTTTGAGAAATTTTCAAATGTAAACATGGGTTGTGTGATACATCAATTTAAAGGTCTAATCACCCCGATCATTTTGGTGCAAAAAAAGTTTAATTATCTTTAACCGTATTTACAGGGTGGGTCAAAACGTTTTAAAAAAGGACTTTGAAGTTAAGAACCGTATTACCCTAACTACTGAACGGAACAGCGCCAAATTTCTTTCCAAGCTTATTCTTGAGCTACTCTTTAAGATAACTTGTAGTAAGGGCATTTTCCAAGTTATTTTCTAATTTTAAAAAAATCTCAAATTTTAAGAATAAAAGAAAGCTGAAAACTCAAAATTCTTAAATAGCAAGGTATAACAAATTTCATACCACGTGAAAGGTCCTTTTTTAACAAACATTTTACGTATTTAAGTTTTCTTTCTATCTCTTACCGTTTAAAAATTGCAGTAGAAAAACATAATTTTCTGTGGTAAAATTGTAACTAGTTTTCTAATAAAACAGCCAAAATTCGTCTCTAGACACATTAAATGGTGCAATAACTAAGGAAACAATTCATAATTATTTTTAGGCAGATAGGCAAACAAGTCATTACGTTTTACTTTGTGAGAAACAAGTTTTATAGCTGATGAGAAAAACCCAAGCGTGGGCCTCTTCCTGTAGTACCATTGACTAGTCAATGGTAGTACTAATTTCAAAAGTACCATTTCCTGTAGTACCTAATCAAATATGGTGTAAACTTAAAAAATATACTTTATTTTACTTATTGGTCATAACAAAAGTGTTCCAGGATAACTGCAAAGTGTTTAACAATAGATATCCAGGTATAACCTTGAGTCATATGGCTGTAATGATTTAGTTAGGAAGTTTTCTGAAACTGGCTCAGTTACCAATGAGAAAAGAACAGGATGAAGGGTCCAAGATGAATTCTGACACACGTAAAAGTAGTCGATCAATTTGTTATGAATCCTACTACATCGTTGAACAAAGTGCAATGTGTTTTATTAGAAAACTAGCTATAATTTTACCATGGAAAATTATGTTTTTCCACTGCAATTTTTAAACGGTAAGAGATAGAAAGAAAACTTAAATACGTAAAATGTTTGTTAAAAAAGGACCTTTCACGTGGTATGAAATTTGTTATACCTTGCTATTTAAGAATTTTGAGTTTTCAGCTTTCTTTTATTCTTAAAATTTGAGATTTTTAAAAAATTAGAAAATAACTTGGAAAATGCCCTTACTACAAGCTATCTTAAAGAGTAGCTCAAGAATAAGCTTGGAAAGAAATTTGGCGCTGTTCCGTTCAGTAGTTAGGGTAATACGGTATTTAACTTCAAAGTCCTTTTTTAAAACGTTTTGACCCACCCTGTAAATACGGTTAAAGATAATTAAACTTTTTTTGCACCAAAATGATCGGGGTGATTAGACCTTTAAATTGATGTATCACACAACCCATGTTTACATTTGAAAATTTCTCAAAAAGCACCCCTACCCCCCAAATTGGGCCCTTTTGGGGCATTTTTCAAAATTGAAAATAATTTTATTGAATTTGGCATGTCCAAATTAGGGGGAAATGAGAACAAACAAGTGTTAAAAGCCTTACCTTTGCACACAACAGATATGGAAAGTTTTCAAATGAACACCCTGTATATATAAGGCAAAGCCCTCACTGACTCACTCACTCACTCATTCACTCATCACTAATTCTCCCTTTTCCCATTTACCTAGTAGGCTGAAATTCGGTACACCGATTCTTTGGGCATTAAATAGGAAAACTAAGTAGTTTTTATTCTGATCGGGCTTCCGGGTTCCGCCCCAGTGGCTCTGGAGTTTCCCATGTCAACCTTATGATTTTTCACATTTAAAAGGAATCAATGAATCTTAACAGCTGTTTCAATTAAACAAGTTGGTTCTATTTTGTGATGTTCAATAGCATTAAAGTTACAAGGATTACCAACAGGGTGCAGCACTATTATTTTTTCTAATTTATGACAACAGCTAATTTGCAACCAAAAGGTGAGTGAGCCTAGCGAACGAACTTCAACCACATGCGAATACTTATGAAGTTAAACGGGGCAAAGCCCGCGGGTACAGCTAGTTTATTATATATTGCCATTGCGCTGATCTCCACGTTTTAATGTAAAACAATGATGTCCTGGAGTAATTAGTAAACTAATTTTTCAGAATTTGCAATATTTTCACCCTGAAGAGCGAAAGCCGCCCTAAATGTTTTGAGGTTATAGGGCTGATATCTTTGACTGTAAATATTTACTTCCACCATGGCTGGATAGGGTGGTCCTCATCGTCTCGCTGTACCTACATTGTTTCATTCCGTGGTATTAAGTGATTCATGTAACCACAGCGGCGACTTGGACGGTGGGGGGGGGCACCCAAATTGTGTTACACTTGTTTTGGATTTACACAGTTGCAAGTCTAAACACCATCAACGACACAGCACCATACACCACAGACGCGCCGGGCAACTTGTATAGCCCTGTCCCGGACGGGCCCGTGACCTGTGCCCAGGCACTGTAGGCCTACCCGAGCCCGGGCGTCTTGGCAATCCCTTCTCCACCGGGTCGGCGCATTTGGCCGGGGCGATTTTGCAGACCCGGGCTCGGGCACAGGTCACAGGGCTCGTCCGGGACGGGTAACTTGTTTAGCCCTGCCCCGCCGGTCAGCCGCATTTGGCCAGGGCACAACCCGCCGAC